CCAGCAGATTCCTGTCTTCTCGGTCCCTGTGCACAGTATAACGCATAATCCAGTCCACCACAATTAAGAATATTATCGGTGACAATAGGCAGTCAGCTTGTCTTACTCCTGTATTCACTTCGAACGCCTCGCTGAGGTTTCTGTTGTGGGTCATCTGACACGTGACATTGTCATATAGCCAGCTGTTGAATGAGGCTGATAAAGATTTGGGCACTGCACGCCATATTGTTGAAGCAGTTTCCAAATTGCTTCTCGGTCAACGCTGCACTGTTGAAGGCCTTTTCGAAGTCGATGAAGTTGAGGTAGAGGTTTGACTGCCATCCTACGCTTTTTTCGATGACTATGCGTAGAGTTACAATTTGATCAGCACACGATTCGCCTTTTCTGAATCCAGCTTGTTCCGGTTGGCGGAGTTCTGTATCCAGTGCATGCTTTATTCTCTCCAGGATGATGTGACTCAGTATTTCGCTTGGGTTGGACAAGAGCATGATTCCACGCCAGTTCTTGCAGATGCCTAAGTCGCTCTTCTTCGGTAGCTTGACAAGGTGGCCAGCCTTTCTTCCAATCGGTAGGTACCCCTCCTTCCTTCCAAACCCTTTGCAGTAATGACGTGAGTACATCTGCGGAAGTCTCTGGGTCCGTTTTCAGCGCTTCGGGGGGGGGAGTTCTGTCTGGTCCTGGTGGCTTCCCAGCTGGCTTTCAGTAGCTTGATCGCATTAAAGATTTCTTCTTTTGTTGGAGGATTGGTGTCCACTGGCAGGCATTTCCGTGCGGGCTCTTGGTGTCATTTCTGGGTGAGTTGCAGGTGATGGTCGATTCAAGAGTCCTTTAAAGTGATCAGCCCATTTTTTTACTCTGTTCTTTAGTCATCAGGTTCCCTTGAACATCTTTTATTGGTTTCATCATCTGAGCTGATCTCTTCTCGGATATAGACCTGGTTATGTGTTATAATATTCTGAGGCGTAGAATTCTCTTTTGTCTTTGCTATCCCTCGTCTTCACTTCCTCATTCAGCGCAGTGTACATTGAGCTCGGCTTCTCCTTCTGTTGTCCATCTCTGCATTGAGTCATCACCATCCTCCTCTCCTCGATTAGCTTCCAGGTATCCGTTGACAGCCACTTCTTGTCTTGTCTCTTCCTTCTTCTTAGAACAGTTGTACACGTCTCCTTGAATATCGCTTTCAGAGAGTTCCAATGTTCTTCCACCCAGGTTTCCTCAGTGATGCCACGTAAAATCTCCGACTTTGCTCTGATATCTGCAGTGAAGGTTTCCTTTGTAGTTTCGTTCTTCAGTTTCTGGGTCTTGGATGTGAATTGTGGCCTGCTTCCAGTTGTTCTAAAGGATTCCAGCTTGACCTTGAACGTACCTTGAACTAGATGTCGATCTGAGCCCACTTCTGCTCGCCTTCTTAACTTTGTGTCCGGCAGACTGCGTTTCCACTTTCTTGAGCAGCATTGAGATGAAGTCTATCTGGTTTTTGGTGTGTCCGTCAGACGAAATCCGTGTTACCTTGTGTACATCCTTGTGTTTGTACACGGCGCCTTCGATCACCAAATGGTTGAAGACGCAGAAGTCTGCACAGAGTTCTCCATTGTTATTCGTTTCGCCGAGTGAGAGCCTCTCGACCCGTGATGAATTCTCCTCCTGTATTGTCTGTCTGCTCCCAGTTTCGTTTGCATTCATATCACCCATTAGGATTTTGATGTCACCATTTCGGGTGTTATCCATTACTGTTTGCAAATGCTTATAGAAATCCTCCTCCTTGTCTTGTTCCGAGTTGTTTGTAGGTGCGTAGCATTACATGATAATCGTAACCTTCCTTCCTTTTGAGTTTAGCCTTGCCGTCATAATCCTGGAGGAGATTGGGTGCCACTCCATTAGAGCTTTGCCTGCTGTTGGTGACACTATGATAGCCACTCAGTGTGCTCGTGGCTGTCGTCTGGGTGTCCGGAGTAGATTGTTGACTCTCTAGTTGACAATTTTGACAGTCCACATCCATTCCATCTGCTCTCGCAGATTCCGAGCACTTCTATGCCATATCTTCTCATTTCTTTGGCTACTTGGGCGGCCTTCCCAGCCTCGTACATTTTGCGAACATTCTACGTCCCCATTCTTATTCTTGCTTTCATAAAGAGAAGAGAAATCGGCTGACTGGCTTCCCGAAGGCTTCCACCAGCCCGCGTCATTTCGCCTCCCCGATTCTAGTGAAGAATAAGTTTGTTTACTAATTTTTTTAGTATTTTTAATATATTTCTTGTGCGTTGACGTTTCTGTAGCCGTTTGATTGGTTTGGTAGTGTAGGGTCACTAGCCCTATTCCCCCGTCTTTACCCGGGCTTGGAACCGGCGAAAAAACTAGCAAGCCAGTAAACTAGGTCAGGTTTATGTATATATATATATATATACATATATGTTATTCGATGCATTCATAAGATTAATAGGTTTATTCTGAACAAATGCGTGTGACATATTACGTCATTTTGAGCGAGTTTCGCTTCTAGGTATTTTCACCTTGTGTAGAATCTTCAAATAGGCGAATATTTGAGATGTCATCACCTGCAGCATTATTGTTTAATCCTTAGTATGCTTCATTGCTACTCCACGATGTTCTCCGACGATTTACTTCAAAAACTCCTAGTTGTATGTAGAAAGATTTTTAAAATTATGCTCAAGCGTAGATTCCGGATCTTTTTGATAATTGGGAATCAGGACGATGTGAAATGGAGTAAAGTCGATGCATTTTGGTGGACAGAAAATTCATCACGAATAGGCAAAAGTGTTCGTTTTATTTTATTGACGTAATTTCAATCTTTAATATATTTGACTATATTTTATTCGTCAAGTCGGATATGCGTCTGAAGTGTATTCTTCTGGTTGACAGTGTTATTTCGTGAATTAAACGTATGCTTAACTATTGCTGTTTGACCCTAAATAATAACACTGTCGCTTGAAAAGTATATATATTATATGTAACCAGTGACTACTGACGTTAATTATTAGTGCAACTAAGCGTTGTGTCTTAAATTTATCTCACTTTTTTGTTATCATATACAGTGTCATCTTAGGCAGACGTTTGAGATACGAATAGTTTGTGTTTCCAAGGAAAACTGTGTTGATATTTTTTAAATATGGAACTGTGTCGTTTTGAACAGCCAGTTCCATTTTGGTGATACTGAAATTCACTACATTAATTTATACAAACTCTGATCAATATCTGATGCAATAGATCCACATTAATTGGGCACTGAATGGCAAGTAGACATATGTAAAACTTACATTTGTATAAATCTTAAGGAAATTGAAATAAATAATTTGAACTTGTTGATCAGCAAACTGCTCTGGACTTCTTCAGGGTAATAATCAAAATATCAAAACACTAAAAACAGACAATAAGAATTGTACAATATTCCCTATCAAATACGTAAACTATCTTGATGATGCAACAGTTAGAAGCAATTCTCAGTGAAAAGCAGAAGTTATTAAGACTCCGTCTACAACTTTAATTATTTTCTTGAAGCAATTTGGACCATTTTATCCAATGAAAAGTTGGAATTACTTGTTTCGGTTTCTCCGAGATTTATGCAGAAATAATTTTTACATATGTCCCTACAATAATGTCTTCCTTTCGGTTGAAAGTGCTTGTGTATTTTTTGCTAAAATAGAATTGTATCATGTGTTACTAATCAAGACCGTTGGGAAGTCGAACTTTGATGTAGTGAAATTGATTTAAATTATTTGGAAATAGGTTGCAGAAAATTATGTAATATAAAGATCAAAGAAGTTGAAAAAACTTCAAAAGCTGATACATCTGATTTTGAATAGTTGCTTATTTTTTCCAAAATTTTATAAATCACTTTGGTGCACTACTGTGTTGGTTTCTTTTTCAGAGACTTCAGTTTACCTGTATCCAGATCTTTCAGTTTACGAGCACTAAAAGATAAACCATTGTATGTGTACCTCTTATTATTCATAGTTAACATTCTTATTCACATCAGAATCCTATTTACCGTCTTTAAAAATTCCTACATTAACTTACCCATGAGTTACGTTCGTATTATATATTTTGAAACCACACAAGAAAATCAAATGCGTAAAGTGAATCATAGCAATGAGAAAACTCGTTTTAGTAGAGAAGTTAAATCTGACAAGTTGTTTTCCATGCAGGTCTAAACGTGATATCGAGTAGTTCTGATTTCCTTATATTTTTTATTTTTTTGGTGATGATATACTCTTTAGTTGTTGTCGCATTTGTTTCAAACATTTTATTGTTTGCGTTTATTTCAGCCTACAAATAAATCATGAATTGTTCTCGCTCGTATATACTTAAACGTATATATATATATATATATATATATATATATGAATGTAGGAATTCAACTATGTTTACTAAATTTTATACGTAGAATTGGTTTCTTTTATTTTATATTCCTCGGACTTACTGCTTGCATTGTTCAGTAAAACGATTTATAACTTTGACTTAGAAATCTTAAGGAAATGTCAATATACTGTCGGTAAACTAAACAGAACTCTTTTAAAAAATCCTTTTAATGTTTTTCTCTTTTCTCTTTCACGAATGTCTCTGCTCTGATTGGTGGGATTATCACAATGTCAATTACTACAACAACAACAACTATTATTTTTGTTACTATCATCACTACTATTCTTTATGTTATTATCACCGTATACATATAGACGACCATTTCGACTACTATTCACCTTGATAGATAGACAGGCAAGTGAAACAGCATATAAACACACTGAACGCTTTGGAATACATATTCTGCACTTGAATTCACTCATCGTCAATCAGATTGTTTGGTATACAAACAGTGTTTAGTAACATTATTGGCGTATATATTACTGTAATGGTTATGAGCAATGTTAATCTCAATAAGTGCTGTTTCTTTCTTTAGAATGGATGAATGAATGACGTTGTCTTGTTAAAACATAATCACATATGTCTGTTACATAATTCTAAAAATTGTATAAAAGTAAACTGTGATGAAGAAATCAGTTAATGATAAAAAATATCTCGATTCAGTTGATCATATAAACTTTAGTCGGTTAACTACAGATCAACACTGTGAAGAAACCCAAGTAAGTATGTTAACCCTTATTATTTGTTTTTTTACTTTTAATGTCAATATATACTTTTATCACAAATTAGTTTTTTAGGGAGTGCTGTACTTGTACTTCGTTTAAAAAACATTTCCACTTTATAAGCTTTTGATATATGGCTATGAATGTAGCAACACATTAGGTGGAAATTTCTGTTTCAGTTGAGTGCTATTTTAGAGTGTCCTGAGGATACTTATATAACTGCGGTGGATTCCAAATGCCGCCTAGGGTTTCATCCCACACTTCTCCTACTCTGAAATTGCGAAGTTCTCAATGACAAAGTAGAATGAAAGGTTTACTTTAAATTAAAAGAGACTTCCAACTAGGAATTGTATGTAGCTTATGTGAACGCAGTCTCAGTTTATTAGTGATATCCTTTAAAAAAATTATAAGACACCTGACATTTGTTTCTCTTCTTTTTCGGGCTGTTGTTTGACAACTCACATCACAATACACAATTGAATTTATTGTCATTTCGACTCACAGTTAACAGATGATTATTTAGTGACAGTTTAAATTCATTAGTCGACGTTTTCCGAATTTATATTCCATACCATGCAGTGATCACTATACAGCGTCATAGTTGAGAACGTATTCATATCTCACTGGATCTGTACTCTAAGTTGAAACAAATCAGTTACCTCTTTCAAATACTGTAACTAGATGCTAACACGATCATTATAGGATCCTACCGGATTAAGATGAGTTCTTTATATGAAATCATAACCACAAAATTTTTAATAGTTCCTGACCATGACAGGTAACATCCTGACAGTTACTATTTTCACTGTTCTTTCGTTCATGCATTCCTATGGATTGATTAATTATTGACTTTTAATACATGAGGTTACTTCGATTTGACACTAGTAACTAGCGTGATGCGTCTAGTACTCTCTTTGGTGCAGACTTAATTCTATCAGTCAGCTTGTAATGTGGCCACTATTCTAGGTAGGTCGCCATCACGGTGCACATTGATTTGATGATATGAGATGGTTGGAGGCAATCGGCAGGAAGCCTTGGACCTAGGTTACGTGCTAGTTGGCACTCGTCAGTAAGGCGTATCTGCAACCTTGAAGGAACTCATGTCCCTTCTGAGATTCGAACCCGCGTCACCCAGTGCTGCAATCAGAGACGTTACCACTGAGCTATTCGGGCTCGCGATTGACCTCCTGTAGGACAGTAGTGGATATTTGCCTCCAACCTTCTAATATCATCACATATGGTTACTGTTCCTCAAAGTCATGCGAAAAGATTTCCTTTATATTTATGAAATAAAATGCCAATTATTTAATTGTTATTGTTCAAAGAAACCCTTTTATTATGAATCACATATTTCGAACTGTCCAAACATACTAAGTTAAACCTTATCTTCTCATGTTAAAGACAACACTCGCATGATACTGTCAAAAGAAATAAACAAATTGTTAATGCACTAATCCTGCAGTTTTGATACATCCTATTTTATGTTTTTATTTTGTTCACATTTATGTATTATTCAATGCTTTTCATAAGAGAATAGTTTTATTCGAAATAATACATAGTGACGAACACTCCCTACACTAATCATTGAATCTTCTACATTAAACACATGCAATAAGAAATGACGCAACAGCAATACACTTAGGTGTAACAGGTAATAAACACTTCGATAAGTTGGCATTATACACTCATATTGGTGACATTAATTTGCATAGTTCTGTAAAGTTCGTCGGTAGAAATGTTGGCTAAGTATTTAAGGCTTCACACTTATATGCAGACTTCATGGGACTACAGAGTTTCTGACAAGAAACGCTTATTATACACCTATAAACTATTTCTGTACCAACATTTTTAACAGGGGGAAAATGCTGCAAATAAATTTTCCGGTGGAATTCAGTATCTCCTTTTTTTTAACTAGCTTAATCACACAGTCTCATAACAAGCCTAATTTCTCATATTAATACAGTGAAAGTAAAGGCAATTAGAAATAAGGGATTGGCAGTAGTAATTTGGTATTTGTTTTAACCTTTTTTGAAAATTAAAATCCCATATAAATCCTTTTTAAATCCATTACTTGATTAATATTTGATGTTGTACGGTATATCAGTAAAATCATTTATCTATAGGATAATTAATTTAGCAGAGATTATTCCCATATCACAATTTGTTTAATGCAACAGTCAAAGTTAAACTATTATGAAAGAAATACAGTTTATTAATAATCGTATGAAAGTTAGATTCAGTGTTTATAATTAACTGTACTAGAATTAATCACAATTTACCGAAAGTGCCCAGCAGGATTTCAGAGAAGAAACGAGAATTACAACAAAGACTCCTTTTCGTCCGTTTCATTTTCAGTAGTTGTACAATTGTATTAGTATTAATATCTGACACGAGTATTAATTCACTGTCTGCACGTGGATTTCATCTGAAGTTGACATTGGGTAGAAAATGCTAGAAAGCACGGTGCGGCGGTTTCGTCCCAATTTAGGACTCTATAGCAGCCAGCGTCCATTAGTAGAATACCGTCATCATTTAAGTATTTCGAAGGGAATGCAGCTCTGTGTAATGAACTAGTAGAATTTGAAAACCCCAGGATATTAAGTGATTATGTGAATTACCAGACAAAATATATCCAGCTATCTTATAAAAAGGAACTTTGTCATGGTGTTTGAATTCGATAGATTTATTTTGAATTGTACTGTAATAACACTATCCAGATTTCTTACCGTTACTCAGAAGCTTAAGGCAAAATACTATAAGTTAACATTATAAATTACGTGAATACATATCAAAACGTTACACAGAATGTCTTTTAATACCCAGTGACATATAATAATCACACAAGTTTATTTAACATAATTAGTCCCTTTTATAAATTTGGGTTGTATCATTAGAAGACGAAGATTATCTGAAAAATGTGATGTATTTGCGCAATACATTTCGAACAATCTGATCACACATTCACTTATCAAGAAATATAGGCCAATTAAAATAAACCAAGTGATAATGGATCTAAGAGTAAGACCAATTAACACTACTTCTCGTTAGATAATCAAATGAGGATTACCAAAGTTGGTTAAGAGTAATAGCAGATTAATTTAAATATTCCCATTATGATAATTATACAATACGATCAAGCAAATACGCCTTTCTGGCAAATTCCCGTCATGCTTTACATTTACTTGATGGTATATTAGTCATAGGTGTTTGAATTAATGTGGTTAGTCAAACATAGGATCAGAGTTCAGGGATGTGAATCAATGGATTACATTAGAGGTGATCATCATCATCATCATATATAATAATTATTATTATTATTATTATAAGGATAAATTCATTCAAGTGTTCATAGAATCTAGGCAATAGTGAGTGTATAGGTATAATACTTTTCTTTACTTTACTTCGGCTATCTCCTACGGGAGGATGAGCCGGCTTCATGAACATCTCGAATCATCGCTGCCCATGCGCGGCGATCTGATGCAGAGTCGTTTGTAAGAGAGTTCATGAGGTTTCATGGGAATTTGGTACGAGTAATGTCCTCAGAATCGCTCGGCCTTTTGTTTGAGAGTGCAGCTCTAGCCTTTACACAACCAAGTGTGACCTACAATGTGTATACTTGTAGGGGTAGAGAGGGAAATAACTATTGTCACACAGCGATTAGATAATATAATAATGAAAATGATTTTTCAGCCCAATCTCTGTGTTCAGAAAACGTTTTCTTAATCTCGCTCCCTACCTTGGTCTGTACCCTTAACCTCAAATAGTTATCTCTCCCAGTGACACCGATTAACTGTAAATATTATCCTACTATTTTTTTTATTTGTAATGCCAACTGTATTATCAATATCATACTGTGTTGTAATTGTACATTTTATTCTCAGCTTCACAAACTATTATTATTATATTGTCTAATCGCTGTATGACAATAGTTATTTCCCTCTCTACCCCTACAAGTATACACATTGTAGGTCACACTTGGTTGTGTAAAGGCTAGAGCTGCACTCTCAAACAAAAGGCCGAGCGATTCTGAGGACATTACTCGTACCAAATTCCCATGAAACCTCATGAACTCTCTTACAAACGACTCTGCATCAGATCGCCGCGCATGGGCAGCGATGATTCGAGATGTTCATGAAGCCGGCTCATCCTCCCGTAGGAGATAGCCGAAGTAAAGTAAAGAAAAGTATTATACCTATACACTCACTATTGCCTAGATTCTATGAACACTTGAATGAATTTATCCTTATAATAATAATAATAATAATAATAATTATTATTATGATGATGATGATCACCTCTAATGTAATCCATTGATTCACATCCCTGAACTCTGATCCTATGTTTGACTAACCACATTAATTCAAACACCTATGACTAATATACCATCAAGTAAATGTAAAGCATGACGGGAATTTGCCAGAAAGGCGTATTTGCTTAAATTATGTGTAGGGGTGGGGGGCAAGCTTCAGCTTTTCTATCCTATTAAACAATGTATCTGACTTAGGAGTCGATTCTCAACTTGAAAGTCTGTATGATATGTTGAGTCTTTACCTCAAAAGAGGATCAAAGCTTTCTGAAACTAAATTCATGGGAAGCTCCCATTGGGACATAGAGAAAATCAAAACAAGTGATTCAGCGAAAAGACTCTTTTCAACGAATTTATTACCAAGCTGTACAATCTAGTGAGGCAATTGAATCATTAAAAGAAGGATCTCACAGTCCCTGAAAAGGACATTCCCTGGTGCATCGTTGAGAATAGCGTTATCCAGTCGATCATTAGTGTTCAATAACCTGAAGAAAAAGATCCTGCAGCTGACCAAATCTATGTGCGTTTATCAATTCACCTGTTCGTGTGGAGCTAGGTATATCGATCGTTCAACTCGAGTTTTATCCAAAAGGGTGAAAGAACACTATCCTATATGGTCACGAAGAGGTAGAAATGGAACAATAAGAAGCGCGATCATTAAACATCTAGTCGATAATGACCACCCCATATC